GAGGACGGAAAGGGGGAAAGGAAGGAGGAAGATAAGAAGAAAGAGACCAAAAGGAGGGAGGGAGGGAGGGGAGAAGAAAAAAACAAATGGAGGGAGGGAGGGAGGGAAGGAGGGAAGACGGGAATGAAAATAAGCATATTTCTCGGGGATTTCGACTTTTGACATCTCTCTCGCGGCGGAAGATCGGGGTTATTGACCGTCGGGTTGGGAGCTGTTCCGCCGGGGAAGAAACAGTGCGAATTTTGTGTGTTTTTTTCCGGAATATTTTGAGGTGAGAGAGAAGGGGGGAGGGAGGGAAAAGGAGGGAGAGGGGGGGAGAGAAATAGAGAGAGAGGGGGAGGAAGGGAGAAAGAGGGAGAGGGAGGGGGGGGAGAAATAGAGAGAGTGGGAGAGGGACGGAGAGAGAAAGGGGGGAGGAACGGAGAGAAAGAGAGAGAGATAAAGGGGAGGGAAGGGAGGGAGGGGGAGAGAGAGAGAAAGATTGAGAGGAGGGAAAGAGACAAACAGACAAACAGACAGGCAAACTTACAGAGAAAGCGAAAGACAAACAGAAAAAAAGAAGACAGAAGTTGTATCTGTGTACGCGTGTGTTTGAACAGACAAGAATATTTGTTCGGGTAATGTAAAGACGGCGGCAGCTGTTCGAAGCACTTAGTGAAAAGTTTCGAGCAAAGTCCGTAGATATTGGCTAAGGCTCAATGAAGTTTCGAGTTTCCCTCAAAAAAAAAAGAAACATATTGTCGTCTGTTTTCTGTATCATGTGACAAGTTTCTCTCTCGCTTTTGATTCTTTTACTAAACGTGTTGATTTTTCTTTTTGTTTTGATTTTGTTTTTGTTTGTTTCGATTCTGGACTCGAAGCATATAGTTATCCCATTCATTTGGAGAAAATTCAAAACGTCACAGCTGATGCTTCACACAGAAATGGAGGGAAAATACAAGCGTTATTTTACGTTGATCAGTATTAGGATGTTTGTTGCTGTTGCCAGAGAAATATACACTATTTTGTGGTTGTTTTTACAAATAGAAGGTGATTTTAAAGTTATCCACGGGCAGTCACGTAAAAGGAGTCATTTACCGTGAATGAAGCTTCGAAAAACAAGCTAACAAGGGACATTTTTGTGTCATAAGCGGAAATCGAGACATATTTGACAAGAATTTTGTCAACTGTGGCTGTGAATTTTAACTCGGTTCCCTCGATTTCCAAGTTCATCAGTGCCTGACAGAAAAAAACGCAATTAAGTAAATAAAATGGAATATAATGATTTTGAAAACAAAGTCAAAACACCGGAAACAAAATCCACAGAACAGTGTTACCAATGTATGAACCGCCAGTGTCGATTCTCAGATAAACTATAATTATCTTTATTATTATCACCATCACTTAATATTACCGTTTTTGTAGTTATCAATTATTGTTATTTTTTTAACTGATACTAAACCTAGTAGTAATGCTACAGTAGCGATTATTAATATCACTTAAATTATGTCATTATGGTGATGGTAGCGTTGGCGATTATTGCCATGATTAACTCTGTTGTTGCCGTAGTTACCAGCGATTGCAAAAGTAGTTTTAACAATAATGGTAGTAACAGTATTGCCAATCTTGCTATTATTCGCCATTATTGCCATCCTCACTATTCATCTTTATTGCCTTCGTCGTTTTTTTTTTTTTTTCGTATGAGCAAATGCATTATTTATGATGTAATGCCTTATAATGGATAAAATTGGCTGCGTTGCCTTTTTAAAACGGGTTATGATGTGAGGGGGGGGGAGGGGGAGAAGGTGAGGAGAGGGGGGGAGAGAGGGGGAAGAGGAAGAGAGAGGGAGGGAGGAGGGGGTAAAGGAGAGATAGGGAAGGAGGAGGGAGGGAGGGAGGGGAGAAGGTGAAGGGGGAAAGGGAAGAGGGAAGGAGGGAGGAGGGGGAAGAGGCGAAGTGAGAGGGTGAGAGGCGGGGAGGGAGGGAGAGGGGGAAGAGGCAGGGAGAGGGAAGGGGAGAGTAAGGGGAAGAGGGAAGGAGGAGGGGGGAGGGGAGGGGAAGAGGCAGGGAGGGAGGAGGGTGATTTCCTCGCTGTAATTGACGAGAAACGTTGTGACAGCCGCGTGTTAAGCGCGAACCTCTTTACTTCAGGATTTAGTTGGATTTCTCTCTCTCTCTCTCTCTCTCTCTCTCTCTCTCTCTCTCTCTCTCTCTCTCTCTCTCTCTCTCTCTCTCTCTCTCTCTCTCTCTCCCTCCTCTCTCTCTCTCTCTCTCTCTCTCTCTCTCTCTCTCTCTCTCTCTCTCTCTCTCTCTCTCTCTCTCTCTCTCTCTCTCTCTCTCCCTTTCTCTCTCCCTCTCCCTCCTTTGGATATTACATATATTTTCATCTTTTTACCTGCACCACGTCCCTCATACCTAAATAGGCCTACAATCGCCTCCCGCAGCGCTAACCTTCCTTCCTCTCCTCTCCTTCGTCAGGAGCAAAAGCGGAAGCTCTTCCACACGCCGCTCTACGACTCAG